GTGTCTTCGGTTATTGGAGGCACACACTGTTTTCCCTCAGTTACTTTGATCTACAATTTTGTAGCTGCTCTCTAAAGAAATGTTTAAGATCCAGCTCTTCACTCAAGTCTCATCTGTGATGGAAACCACCTGTGACAGGTCAGATTAACACACCAGTAATGGATAAATAACTCTCCAAATTAATAAAAGCAGCTGAAGTTTAGTGTGTAGTTTCCAGCTGTTCACAGAAGTCTTTCTTCTGACATTATTACACTTAGGATGCAGGATGCTTTCTCTTAGGCGAGAGTGTTACTCGCAGTTAAACATATGACACCACAACTTTAAAATTATATGCTTTGTCTGTTTGTTTGGGGTCACTATTGACTGAAAAGATTCTATAATTTCACACTTTGAATTCTCTGGGGCTGTGCTGTTGTTTGTTGTTTAATCAGCTTTCTTGTGTTGCAGGAGAATTCATGGGCCTTTAGGTGGCTTTGTGAAAGTTTTTCCTCCAGTGAAGAACATCTGAAAAGATTCTTTCAGGGGATTGCACAGGAGAGGGAAAACAGCAGGTATGTGAACACGTCTTGAGATAAATCACTACAAATCTCAGCATCCTTTAGCTAATCAAATTAACTTCCAGAAACAGAAAAGCTTTGATTTGATACAATCCCAGTTCCCCCAAAAAAGTTTGTGTGCGTTAAATGTAAATATAAAAATGGAGTGTGATGTCAAGTGGCTTTATTGTCATTCCAACCATGTGCAGTTGTGCAGTACACAATGAAACGAGACAACGTTCCTGCAAGACCGTGGTGCTACATATGACATAGAACAGACAATCGACACAGGACTATATAAAGTGCAGTGTGCAAAAACACAAAACAAAGACAGTGCAACACCAGACAGAACGATACAGACACAACAGTGCAATAGAAATGTGCAAAAAGTAACTTGGTGTATGAATGTGTGTGTGTGATTCTGCAGATAAGTGCTTGGTATTGACGTGTATGAAGGTATGCATGTGTGTCAGTCCAGTCACTGAGTGTTCAGGAGTCTGACAGCTTGGGAAGAAACTGTCTCACAGTCTGGCAGTGAGGGCCTGAATACTCCAGTACCTCTTGCCAGAAGGCAGCAGGGTGAAGAGTGTGTGTGTGCAGTTCCTCCACAATGAAAGTTGCTTTGCGGATGCAGCAGGTGCGATAAGTGTCTGTGATGGAGGGAAGAGAGGCTCTAAAAGCGTTAGAGCTATATATTTATACCAACTCATACATTACCTCAGCACAAGTGGGACAAGCAAGGACTTTTTAACTATGAAATATTGTCTGATAAAGGATTTTTTTTTCTAACAGCCATGTGATCATTTCAGCACTGCACGTGTGTCTGACTGAATCTCATTGGTGTCATTACTTTTCTTCTTGTTCCAGTGCATCCTGATTGCACATTCTTGCCCCCTGCAGAGCTACAGAAGTCTTAAACACTGTTTACAGCACTGTTGCCTTCCACAAAGGGTTAAATACTGTGGAGAGTCGCCAGCTTGTTACAGATGTCCGACTGTACCTGCGTCCTCACACCAGTTCGTGTTGGTACAATGCACATACTTCTGTTATTCACCATCTGATGACAAGAGACTTGATATTGATTCACCATTTTAATGTTCGTAAAATGTTAATATGTTACACTTATAAATAAAAAGACAGTTTAATGCATTAGATTGCTGAATCACTGTTTGAATATAAAATGATTTTGTCTACACAGCAAGATAAACAAGAGTACAATTGTCAAAGAGAAGGATGTTGTTGCTCTGTCATTTTATAAAGGCACTTTATTGTTTCAAATCATGTGCTGTATATAAAAAAAAAAAAGTCACGGTTGGATTAGCGGGCTTTTATGGAGTTCTAGTTACCACAGTAACTGATGGTGTAATGTGTACTTTTATAGGCAAAAATAAGGATTTTTTTTTTTTACAAAAACGTTACAATTTTTTAATTCTAAGGAAATCCGTGGTTCCTGGTGCAGAATCTGCGCCCACACTGGTACTACTACAGTGGAAAAGAGGTACCTGAACCATATCAATTAAAAAAGAATTTTTAAGTGCTATGGCCTGTTTCTGCTTAATTTGAAAAAGAAAAATTCTACAAATTCATAATCAAGGAATAAAAAAGAAAAAAGGTAATCTATCTGGTGTTCATGCAAGCTAACCATTTTGGCATAATAATGCCAACACTATAAATCCATTATCAATTCAGCCAAGAAACATTAGTGATCAGTTCACTCCCTGGCTTCTCCAGCCTGCACATCAAATATCCTTGGGCAAGATACTAAACATTTGGCCCTGCTGCATCCCTCAGTGTTTGTGCAAATGTGTGACAAGGCTCCAGTATAGAAAAATGTGCTGGTTTGAATGAGGCTTGCAGTAAAAAGCACCTGAGTACTCAGTGGTAAAGTGTTTTAAAAGTACAAATACCTTTACACCACATACAGCTTTTACAAAACAGTGTACACTTCTCCACCAATGCTTCACTTGAGACTTTGGTGATGGGTGATTCAATGTAATGCACTACCTGTCTGTTCAAACAAAATGGTACTGATCTTTCTGTTTAACCTTTAGCAAGAACCCATTGACATCCAACAGACCTGCAGGTTTACTGCATGGGCCACATTATCATCATTAGTAGTCGTAGAATAATTTTAAGCTGCCAGTTATTTGTGACTATCAGACATGCGAAAGGCAGGGTGACAGGTTTTTACAAAGTAATGATGTAATGGACCTACGTGTCATGTGGATGTCATGCTGTACTCTATAGTAAACAGTACTCTATAGAGGTTACAGGCTTACTTACATTGCACAGTGTTCAGATAAGGCTCAGTTTTCTTAAATTACAAGTTCATGTGTCATTAAGTGATAAGGCTGCCAGCATGTGGAAGGGTTTTGGTGCCAAGTGAGGCACTAGTGCAACGATGTGACCTTAATCTATATTTAACACTGCACATAAAAAATATTTTTTTTGTACCGAAATGTTCACAGCAGCAGTTGATCAAACCTAAAAATTAGAGAAACATCGAAACATTCAGGGTTTCTCTTTTTCTCCGTCTCGACACCTATGACGTCATTGTGTTTCTGTGCATTTGCACTGAGCTGTAAGCAAATCTTAACACTGGAGGTCCACACCCTGCATACCGCTGTTTAATGAGATGAGACAGATGGCTCATCACTCTCAAATCACATTCGCTGAGTCCTCGTTCACACCAGGAATTCTCTTCTGTGTTACCCTTCTCTTTAGCCGCGCATAGATTTTTAAAAAGAGGTATAAAAGTGTACACCAGTACGCGATTGACCAGCGCAGCAAGGCAGCTCTCCAGATGCTGCAGGTAGGTGATGCCCCGGGTGATACCAGTGTGAGGATTGGCCAGTCTGCTGAGAAGAGAACCAGAGTAAGACGGGCACCGCAGTGTCCTCTGGTCGAGGTCCAGCAGAGCCACATAACGACTGTAGCGACTCAGAGAAGGAAGGATGGTGGAAAAAGAAGCTGAGGATGATCTGGTGGAAGAAACCATGACATGGATGTGATATTAATAAATTTCATTTATGGCCTGAAGCTGAAGAAGAAAAAAAGAAATAAGCTGTAGCCTTCTACACATGTCAGTTTACTGTCATTTCGGATCAACTTGAAGACACCTAGAGCCATAAACTTAGCAAGTAAACAATGAAAAGCATAAACCTCAGCTGCTCAGTTTGTATAGGTGGTGACAGAACTTAATGTTTCCAGGTCTGACCAATAACTGCAGTCATTCGCCTTAAATGGCCACCTGATTAAAAGCTTTTATATTCAGTATACAGTTAAAGCACCCAACTTGACAGCAGACAAACATGTTTACAGTCTGGGACAAAAACTTTTTGGCCAATGTCCCCTCCTCGCTCATTACAACTGTAGGGAGGGTCATACTTTTTAAATTTCTCTATAAGATCTCCAGTTAAACTGTATTTGGTTTAATATAGTCATGCATTATTAATGGTTTGGCCAATTTGAGGACTAGAGGATATAAGCCATAGCTGCCTGCTAGCTCTAACCTTAGCTCAATGAACTGGACATCTCATCGGTATGACGTTGCTGACTTTTAATTACCTTAATTTAGTTACGAAACAAACAAACAAACAAAAAAAAAACAGGACTTGTAATGTAATTTAACAAGTCTGTACTCTGGTTTTGGCGAGTGAAATCTTAGTATTATTTTATTTATACGTTAGCACGTATCTGGTTAGTGCTGACCAGCAACCTAGCATTAGCCACTAGCCACCCTGTTACCGAAATATTTACTGCCAAGTTCATAAAAATAAACAAACAAAATAGCAGTGGCCATAAAGGTAATGACTCAAAACAAGTCCACAAACCAATGAGTAACATCACAGTGGCTATGTCAATTTTTTTTTTTTTTTTTTTTCCACTGCAGTTTGTGTTTTTGTTGTTTTCCGGCGGCAAATCTCCTTTTAGAGGCAACATCACAGAAAGAGTTTGTAACGCCTGCATACCAAATATCATCAGCTTTAATGTAATGTTTTTCTGTGTTTTTCTCTAGAAAGTACCGATGTGAGAACAGTTTGTAAAAAAAACAAAAACAGCAGGATGGCAGATATCCCTCACCTGTGCACTCCCATCAGTCTCCAGGTGAGCAGGTCAGTCAGCTGAAGGGGCGTGGTCAAACACATCTTCACAGCACTTCTATGAGGACCAGGAGCAGGCAGGAAGAGGGTCAGAGCATCCACCGTCTTCCTGACTAGGTTCTCGTCTCCTCCGATGACAACCAGTGGCCGGCCACTCAGGAGACAGAACACTGCATGCTGGGAGAACGAGTTGTGCTTGATAAACCTGAGGGCTCTGAGTCCAGCCTTTCTCCTCCTCCTCTTATCCCAGCAGATGTTGCTGTGGATATTTTGAATGGGGGATGGGAGCTCTGAAGATTCAGTGAAACTGATGCTGCTGAGTGTTGACTCCTCATCAACACTCAGCAGCCTCAGGGGAGGGCGGGGGGAAGACCAGCGATCCACCTCAGCCATGTAGGAAGCAGGTGCAAAGTTCGCATGGTCCTGAGGAATCAGCCGCAACTTCTGGTGAACCTCAGGTGAGGGCTTCATCGCTTCGTCAGCTGTGGAGTAATAACAATATTTTATATGTTTTTTTAAAAAAAACTACAGTAATCAGCTACTTTCCCTAGCAATTAAACGCTTTATTAAATGATCAGCCGTTATAATTTTAAATCATGTCAGAAGAAAAAAAATAAACTGTAAATTTGCACTAAGATAGCCACGATTACAAATGCATATTTTCCACATTTTTAAAATAGCTTCTCATTAGTTTCTGTGTTGCTGCAGATTTTATTTAAAACGGATAAAAACCATACCGACAAAGTGAATATATGTTTTTCATAGTTTTATAGCATGGATGTAATAACGAGAGCTTGAGAAATGAATAGCTGTACAACGTGTTACCTTGCAGTAGTTTGGAGGTCTTCTCTTCACTGTTGTCTTTGCGA